GGTACTTTGGAGCGTTTTGTGGGGCCGTTTGTTCGACTGGGAGGAGAGGGTTTGGTGGGGGTGTCAATCACGACATGCTGAACCGCGATTTTGTTCATGCACATCGTTGGCATTCTCAGCATCTTCATCACCAGCATCATCATCATCATCATCATCATCAGTAGCACCACTAGCATCATCATCGTCATCCAAAAGTGTAATTATTAGTAAAACAAAGTAGTCTTTGACAACGTACCCAAACTGCGATTTTCACAAAACCCTGTAAAAACCGATACTTTTGACCCTCGAACACCTCCAAACTACCAGGCGCCAGGAGGCGCGCAAGCCTAGTAGTAGTAGTAGTAGTAGTAGTAGTAGTAGTAGTAGTAGTAGTAGTAGTAGTAGTAGTAGTAGTAGTAGTAGTAGTAGTAGTAGTAGAAGTAGTAGTAGTAGTAGTAGTAGTAGTAGAAGTAGTAGTAGTAGTAGTAGTAGTAGTAGTAGTTGTAGTTGTAGTTGTAGTAGTAGTAGTAGCAGCAGTAGTAGGAGTAATAGATATCTAACACGCTTAGGAACTCGCTTGTTATCAGAAGTGGGACCAAAAAAAGACAGAAGACAGACAGTGAAAAAAAAAGCCTGGTGGTCGTGTCAGTCACGTTTTGAAGTTCGAAGGGCTCCAGGGTAGTGTCTGAGGGTCGCCTGACATGTCTGACTAACCGGCAAGAACAAGATTTCACACTTCACCGGCTTTCTTGTCATGCTTGCTTTGCTCTGCTTCACTCTGCTAGGCTACATGTACGGGCGTGTGAGTGGGGCTTCTGTATCTCTGTGTAGGGTAAGTCCCTTCTCGCCCTCTCTAACTGCACAGTGCAGCTGCCCTCACTTTGAAAATCGGAAGCAAGAGACGTCGATTTCATGCGAGGCATCGAAACTTGTCCTTGCACGTGATAAGAACCTTCCTGGGCATGCTTGGCAAGGCCAGGAAGCTGAAAACGATAACCGGAACACCGGAACAGCGGCACGGCCTGGACTCGTTGACCGGTGTGCCACAACACCAAGGCTCTGCTCATTTCCCAGCAAGAATCTCCCAAAGTGCAGGGCCACAAGCTGCAAAGCCACTGCCAACGAGGACAAAAGGCAGCAAAGCGACTTAGATGCCAGAAGGCAGCAGCATGTGCTCGGAAGCCACGACAGATTGCTCATTTCGAGATGTCAGCCAAGACGCAAAACGAGGCCAGCAAGCGACGGCCACTTAGCTTTCCATCCTCTGCAACTACGATTTGCTGCGTGGTTGCCAGGTACAGGTTTCAGGCTTTCTCAGTACCGATCGAAAGACAAAACTGCAACTCTTGATAGTCATTGCTCACTGCCACAGGCCCGGCCGATGCTGCACAAAGAAACCATGGCGACTCCGAGAATGATTCCATGCTGACTCGACGCCGGAAAGGTCCTCCATAAGGTACGCTGTGCCGAGTACAAAGAACGGCTGCGCTGCCAGCATGTAGAGCCCAGGACCTCTAGAGAACATGAAGCCCTCGGCAGCCACCACCACGACCTGGATCAAGTGAGGCAGATTCCGACGGCATCTGAGAAGTTCGCACGGGACTCCTGATTGATACGATCCTACATCCTACATGGTAGGATCCTTAAGGCAGGCCCATGAACACCCGAGCCCGCCCTTAACACCCCTGCACTTCTCGGCCGAGGCTCGCCGGCGACCAGGGCCACCTTGCTTGCGCGTGCGCTTTCCCGTGAAGCGTTCGGGTTCTTTAGAGAGGGTCTCAAAGTCTCCAGGTTCCGAAACTGAAAGCTGATAAAACCGAAACACCCCTGTTGGTTGTGGCGGCGGTCGGGAGTACTATAGGAGGGCTTCGAAGTCCTTCGTGGGAGCCTTGAGCTTCCAGACGCCACGATGGGCGGCCGCTTGCGCCAGCGGCTCTGCCTCGCTGTAGTCCAGCTGCAGCAGCGGCGTGTAGCCTCAACTCAACTGTCTGGGTCTTCGTCGGGAAGGGGGGAATGGATTATGGAGATTTTTGGGGATTATGTAGGGGCTATCATGGCATAGGGATCCAATCCTGTTCCTACCGAGAACCAGACAGGCTAGGTCGGGGAAGGGCGAGGGGGGGTGTTGGGGATTCAGAAACAGGGCTCCCTTCTTGATGTGCTTCTGCGTCAGGTAGCAGAATGCGACATTCGCGCCTATCTCTAAAATCCTTCCGATGCTAGCTTTACCTTGCAGCCCGTATACCTTGCGCAGCAGTTCAGCCTAGGCTTCTGCAACGCACGACAGTCACGAGGGACGAACTGGCATGCACTCCACAGCTGATGTCTTTGCAGACCCAAATCCATTGAAGGGGTTTCCCTTGCAGATTTTTGCAGCGGAAGATAATGATCCACAGTTTGTCGTAGCCCTGCTCTTGTATCGGGAGGAGAGATTCTGCTGCGAGAGGCCGCGAATCCCATGTTAGCGGCGGCCCTGGTTGTGAAATCTGAAGCAAATGAAGCATCAACACGCAGAAGCTCTCGAGTTTTACATCCTGTCCGCCGATGGAGCTCTCGAAAAAACAGCACCCACGAACTGTGCTGTAAATATTATAGCAGTGTTTTCCAGATGGCGGATCTGCTCACGGGCAAGGTATTCGGGGCGCTGATATGGATTCACTTGTCGTGGATGCGGTCGGGGTGGGCGTAGGCACAAGTTGTTCTGGGAGCCGACATGGATGTGCTGATACCTATGTAATCTGTAGAAGCCTGTGTTTCGAAGTTGTGGATGCTGTCCTTAGGACACCATGGTTTTCGATGGCAGCTGGAGAGCCGGGCAACCACATGCAACCGAGATAAGCTCGTCAGTTGGCATCGCGAACCGGCTTTAAACCGTCGTGACTCCCATGTGACGAGGTACCGAGGTAGGCCACCACCATGAAGAGGCAGAAGACGAGGCGGATCATCCAGGTGATCGCCTTGGACTTGGGTGGCGCAGGCCGGCTTTGGGCTGCAGTGGAGGGCCTCTAGAAACTCGGGCCACTACAGCTACATGAAGCTTGTGGCCCTCTCTCTCTGGACCGCAAAGCAGCCAAGGGTTGCTTTTACTGCTTAGTGCTTGGTCTGAGTGCTCACCAAGCAGCAGTCTCTCGTGGCGGTGGACCACCGGCCTTGTCACCGTGGCTGCTGCAGCTGGTTCCGAGTCTTCGCAACTGTCCACATGTCAACTGTTCTAGTCCATCTAGTCCTCCTGCAGTCTATCTACCGTGATCTTCCTTCATATTCATACACCGTCTTCTCTCCTGCTTTGCCTGTAGAAACCGTTGTAAGTGTAGCGGCTCAGTAGCGGCTGCTTGGTTGCAGGCCTCAGAGTCTGGCTCGCCCTCGGCCCAGTGGTGGAAGGTCGCCTGGCCCGCCGGGGTCAGCAAGCCGATCACGAACCTCAGAGGCGGGTGCGGCGCCAGAAGCCACTCGCTTCTCCGCAGGCTGGGCCCCCCGGCGCCACCAAGAAGGCCGCGCCAAACGTCACCCGGCTGATGGCCGACGCGTGCATCAGGACGGTGTCCTTTCCTCCGAGCAGGGCTGCATGGAAAGATGAGCTCACCTCCGCTGCTTTCGTGGCACTTCACTGGTTTAAGGCATTTGGTCCCTGCTTGCTGTCAGGCTGCGGCTCATCATGAAGAGCAGGTTCAAGTCTCCCAGCATATACCTTTGCTGCTTTCCATGGAAAGCATTCCAGATCAACATTGTAGAAGCTACCCCGTCAGACCCCTCATCCCAGATGTACCCCGAGAGCGACACAGGAAGACAGGGAATGCGAGAAGGATCAAACAAGATGGAAGGCTGTCTGTCATCCAAGGGGCCACAGCTGAATCATGATTGCCACTATGCAGGAACGGACTGTGCGGCTCCGCTCCTTTACAGGTTTGTGAAACGCAAAGCAATGTGAGCCCATCACCCATGATCCCTCAACAAGCGAACCGGTCCGGTAGCCGAAGCCCATGTCTGTCCTCCACATTGCTTTCGCTGGCAAGGGCAGACATCAGCGCGACGACATCCACAAGCACAGTCCCAACAAAGCCCCCGGAGTAGCAGTAGACCCACCAGATGCGCGCTCGCCGCTCGACCTGAGGCTCGACACACCGCACGTGAAAGGCTCCCTCAAAATTTCTGTCCGTGCCTCGTATTCGTCGCTTCGGACGGCCCCTCCCTGGCGAAAGGCTCCGTGGAAGCCGTGGCCCAGAAGGATGCAGGCGGCGCAGCCAAAGATGCAGAGCCACCACAGTGGATTCAAGCGCAGGCACCAGTGTCGCCGCAGGTCAGCACGCGAGAGCTGCTGCCAACCCGGCATGTGAGCCGCGAACTCCAGCATGAGTTCTTCCGACTCCTCAAAAGTGCGTGGAACGACGGCAAGGATCTGATCCTGTTGCTGACCGAAAAATGTCACACCTGCCTTCCAGACAAATCGGAACTCTCCACGACAGGCGCCAGAGCAGGATGCCGTGGAAGGGGGCGCCTGCTGTTCAACATCTTCGCCGACGTAGCCCACATCCATGGAGAACGCTTCAAGCGGGACTGTGCCGTTGTGTGATCAGGTGTTGGCTTTTCTTGGCGTCTTGGTGTCTCAGTGGAGAGTTGTCTGGGTACGGGGGCTCTTTGTTCTGTATAAGCAGCCAGTCCAAACGAGACGGGCTAGCGGCCAGCGGCTTGGCCAAGACGGACACCGGTAGGCGCCGCTGACCGTTGAACCGGCATGCCAGACATGAACACGGTCACTTCAAGCAATCAGTGCTTCTTACCTTACTGCACCAAGTCCAGGACAAGACCCCGGAGATGCCGCTCATCGCACCGTCCTATAGCACCCCAACCAGACATGCGAGTTGGTCAAAGTTGGTGAGTCTAAATTGGGGGGGTTCCTTTCGGGTGCCTCTTCGAATAATCCTTCACAGTAACCAGTAACCTGAAAAGCACATTAAGGAACCTTGATTATGCAGCGTAGCCCTTCATCCAGCTGTGGCATCCTGTGCTTGCGCCGCCCCTTTTTAAGCACCGCCAGTTGTGGGGCAACTAAAGAGCCAATCGACGAGAGACCTCGAGCGCTTCTGCTCTGCGCGTGCTCCATGCATGTCGGCATGCCAATACCGGAATCTAATTACCGTTTCCCTGCGTCTGATTGCAAGACATGTTTGGCGGCGGTCCAGTTTGTATTGCATCCAAGGCACCCGATTTTGTCGTCCGACATCAGCGATACCGGCTCTATCAGATCTCCTGGATTCGCAGCTTCGGGTGTGGCCCTGCTCGGAGAACCCCCCCATGCCCTGGCCCTGCCTTGCGGAGTCAGCGCGAGGCGCAGTGCTGCAATCACAGTATCTGCACGCACACACACACACACAGAGACAGCACTCTGCGAACCGTTTTGGGATGCGGAGGCACACGGCGGGCCTCGGCGGGAAGGAGTCAGCGTGAGCCGCTCAATCTCCTGCCAAGAGCAAAGAGCACGAAGACACTCATCAAGTCAAATATCATATGCCGAAAAGCTGCTAAAAGCTGCCAAAGAATTTCTTCAAAGGCTCTCGCACGACTACGCAAGGTCATCCACGCAGCTCCTGCACTGTTTCTTCATTCGGCTCTACATGGATTCCGAACCTGACATGAGGAAGGGGCATGTTACCAAGATCTGCCAAGTCATAGAAGGACCGACCGTTCTCTCTGCTCAGATCTGATCCTGAGCTGCTGGCTCCACATGCGCGGCATGGAATTTCTTGAGCTCCTTCAGCTGCATGTCAGGACAATTTTCACACGGGCCAGAAGAAGCGAGCTTTCGAAGATCCTACAGTAGCAGCAGTGTCCTTCCATGAGACGCGGCTACCATCGATACCCTTGATGCAGCGCAGCATCCGCACGGCGACGCTGAGGCACATCTCGGAGATCAGCAATTCGTCGCGATTTGCAACCGCGGCTGCTGTGAAGTCCGCAAGGCGCAGCCATCCCACGAATTCCATAGGTCGCTGTACAACGATGTACTGCAGCATCGCAAAGGCCATACTTGTTGGGCAGCCACGGCACCAGGAGTGGTCTGCCTGCTGGCTCAATGCCCTCACAGCCGCCAGGTCCTCGCAACCCCGCAGCTTGCTGAGAATCTCCGGGCTGGTGTAGTTCTGCCGTGTTTTCTCCGCTTGAGTGCGCTTCAGGGCTTTGGCCCAGGGTAGATATGCCGAAAGCCGCAGCTTCCCGTTCAGCGACAGGGCCTCGTTGCGGGGTTCAACGAAGCAGCTGGCAGCCTTGGGCATCTTCGCACGGAGCTCCAGTGTTGCGTCCATCATGCGCTCCAGGCAGTATTCCCTGCTGTAGTGTCCGTGCGCAGTGTTCTGGACCAGGACGTCATGCGTCAACAAGACATGCTCCGGGAACAAGGCAGTTGCCAGGGAGGCAAAACGCCATTGAGAGACCCACTGGCAGTCTTCGTCGAGGTCAAGAACCTTGGCAAGTACTTCTGGCAGACAATTGGACCGGGTAGAGCTCATGCTGTGGCGCCGAACCCTTTCCACTGCTGTTCCCAACAAAGTTCAGCAAGGCCACAGCACGGCCGCTAGCCGCTAGTCTATGCCTAGCAATGTTCGCCGTTCCAGCTGCCTTCTAGTGGAGGCCGGGGAGCATAGGGCAGCAAGTAAAACGCAGCATCGGAGTGCACGGCTTCTACAGTGTGGTCAAAGTTCAGAACGGTTCTCACAGCGGCACCGTCCTCCTTTCGATAGACATCCAGGACGCTACCTCGGTCTGGCATGACGAAGCTGCTCAAGTCACACCTGCTAAGGGTAGCTGAAGACAAGACTCTGTAGCCGTCCAGGCTTGGCAATCCCACTGCAGGTTCCCACTCGCGCAGGAAGCTCTCGAAGCTGTGCCATCCCACATGCCAGTTCTCGAGTGCAGTGTCTGCGTCAAAGTAACAGTAGTAGGTGTACCTGTAGCCTCGGTCAGCTGTCATCAAAGGCCAGGGATGTTCTTTCTGCTTGCGTTCTCTAGATTTTCTGACCTAGGCAAAATTGTTATGCTTCGGAGTGCCGATGAGTGTTCTTTCTCCCGATGCTGTGAGCCTTGACAAGAATTTACGAACAGCGCATATCTTAGTATGTCAAAAGAAGCGCCTTCAGGATTCGATTTTGCAAATACTCATGGATGATGTTCACGGCATTCCTATTCTTCACACTAATCCTGACTTTCAAAGTGCTGACAATCTCCTCATGTTAACACTATATTCAGGGAGCTCATGCGACTTCACGTAGTGACGACAGCATGTAATGTAGAATCCATAAGAACTACAAACTCATGGATTCTATGTGTCATCGAATCGCATCGTAGGGTGAAAATGACCAGAGCATACCAGCAGGATAGCTATGGTTAACACCGATGTTTGTCATCATATGAACAGCATCAGCATCTGTGACTGAGTGAGCATGAAGATGACCTGGCTGCTTGCAATCCAAATACGAGCGAGTAGCAATAACTGGCAATAACCTTGTGCACAACTTGGTTCTGACGGATCACAGGTGGCTAAGCAAGCTGTACTAAGACTGAGCCAAAGGGGCCCATCTGCAGCTCCACATATGAGGCAGCTGCAAAGAGGTAGTTTCGGCCCTCCGCGATCATGGAATTCGGGAAGAACAAGGTGTCCGCCCTGACGGTCTTGAACGTCAGCTGGAACACATCAGCCCCGGCTTTCCAAAGAGCCACCTCCTTTGCATACACCTCAGCTCCAAAGCTGACAGTGCAGACTCCCCCTCAGCAGCCAAGCCACTCCCAACAGCTGCGGCCGAGGGCACGTCCTCCTCACCTGCCAAAGAGGCCGCAGCACCGCCCCCCTCCCCCGTCAAGGAAGCAGCTCACAGCCTTCGATGAGGGCAGCAACGCGAAAAGATGAGCTGGATGGGAGGCCACGAGCCCGGTCGATCAGCCGAGACCTTAGGAGCAGGAGCTGTAACGCTTGACGGCTGAAGACGTGTCCAGATCCACTGTGTCCTTTGCCGTCGGGGCACAGCTCTGGCCAATCGTCCTGAGAAAGATTCCGTCCGTACATTGGGTGATGCCTGAGATGCACAACCGAACGCAGAGTTTGGAGTCAAGCCCGGCTCAAGTTTCTTCTGGCCTCAGCAGCTCACTCTTCCTTGGTGGCCAGACTGGAGCCGCGGCTGCCAGCAGAAGCGCAGGAAGCACGCGCAGGCATCGTCCCATGCTCGAAACCATGCAGCGAGCCCAGCTCTTACCCGCGAGAGAGAGGGGTTTTGTGCACAACTTGGCTCCTGGGCCAATCTTTACGTGTCCAGGCCCCCAAAAGCTCATCCGGCAGCTTCTAAAGCTTCAAAAGCTGTTGTGTTATGTTACAGGTATGCTACCTGCTACCTGGTGCGAGTAGATGCTTCGCAAAGGTTCGACTGCTTGGTCTCGCCACCCCCTTGCCAAAGATGCAGAGATGAACAAGAGCAGAGGCTGTCGGGCGCAGCGGGGCGAAAGAGGGCGGACCGCAGATCGCAGAGCTCGCCCTCCTTCTCCATCAGCTCCTAGCATCGCCCCTTCTCCCCTCTAAGGTTTGCGGTCGAGGGTGCAGATCTGCATTTTACATCATTACTCTTGGCTATTGGCTCGGGGGGAGTTTGGAGAGTTCGAAATGCCTTGTCGCGCTTGGCCAGCTCGCGATCCTTCTCTTCCAAACTCGGCGCAGTCACGGCTAAGGGTGTCCGCAGTACTGCATATGACAGCTCAGCGGACTTGACTGCGCTGTGGAGGGCATTGCACGTGCAGCTGAGACCCACACCTGACTTTGGTCAGCTGCAACTGCAAACAGGCAAAAGGCTCCGTCGTCCCAAAGTTTACGGTTTTCTTTATCAAACACACTTGTTTCTGTGATCGACGTGAAACGCGATCATCAAGGTCAGGGGGGGGGGGGACCTGGGCTTGGGAGCATAACGACTCTTTCCACACTCTTAGCTGGGACTGCTTGAAGCAGTAGCGTCGCAAGCCTCCTGCTCTTTCTCCTGCACCTGCTGCTGCTGCTGCTTGCTCATCCGCTCCTGCACTACTTCCACATTCGACAGTAGTAATGTTCAAGAGGCTTTCTTGCCCACTTGCCCAGCGATTCAAGCCTTGCATCTGCATCATGCCCGCATGTTCGCCAAGGTGCACATGGTGCACCGAGCACACGATCTCTTCACCAAGCGTTCAAGGAGTACTGAAGGCATCACTCCTGAAGATCTGCCTGTGTCAGCTGAATCGTCTGAACCTGGCGGCGGACAGCTCCACATGAAAGGGAAAGGCGACCATCGAAGGACTGCACACAGCGGCAACAGCTCCAGGCACCAGGTCAGTGGGCTGGCGCGCGGCGGGGCCTAGAAGCCTTCAGGGAGCTTGGAGCTTACGTTACGAGCCACGACTTGCGCAGAGCATGGTAGAACAGGTATCACTTGTTCGCTCGCGTTGCTGAGTGTCTGCCAAGGCCAGCACGAGTGCGCGCTCTGACCAGGTATCGTCCTTTCTCACGGAGACGCATGTAGCAACGCAGCTTACTCATCAACTGCCGAGACAGAAAGTTCGAGGCCACCGCGGCACGGGCTGCGGCTGCATCCGGCAGGCCTGGCCAAAGAGGAAAAAATTCCTTCGTCAAGCATCTGTCTGAACTATAACTACGCGAGTATGAGAAAACATGGTTGCTGGATGTTACTGGCAATACCATCCCTGACGTCATAGCAAGAGAGCTGGAAACTGTGAACTCGAGGAAAATACGCAGTCTCCCGAGCAGACTCTTTCTCTTTGTCCTGGCTTTTCCCAGAGGACACCTTGCTACTGTGAAGGCGCGGATTGTTGAGTAGCCTAGGCTATGCAGAGAGGAGAGAAGGCAAATACGAGCAACTGTACACTGCACATGGGCCACGTGGGCAATAAGCATCGTAGACCTTCTCTAAGTAAACGTGCCAAGTTGTGTTACTTAACCTGCCAGGCCACTATGCTCTGACGGTGACCTGGCGCCCGTCCAGCTTGAATTGAAAGTTGGGAAAGCCAACAAGGGCAGAACCGATTAGCGGAAGTCCATCCTTCGGGTCCTTCGGTGCAGTCAAAGAGTGAAAGCTGGCCCACTTGCTGCGGTGATGATGGGCCTCTGGCTTCAGGTTGGTCGGATACATACCGCCAGCCAAAGGCCAGTCACTGCTGTTGGGCGAAAGCCGAGCACCGTCCAGGATCATGAACCAGATCTTGTTGATCTGCACGAAGCCACGCACTGCTGCAGAGGCCTGCAGACCCCAGGATGCGTCAAACCTGGCCGATGACTGCTCATCCGTGCGGGGCTGCTGCGGCAGCTCGTACTTCTGATGGAAGACATTGACGGCGAACTTGCTGTGCAGAAGGTCCGTCGCCGTCTCCAGGCGAGTGACATATCCCGGGACGAAGTTCCGAATGTCGACCTCCACCGTGCACTCATGCTCTGTCACATGATGGATGAAGCTTTCCAACGTCTCGAGCTGACAGCGTTCGGCCAAGGAGGATCCCATCTTCTTTGCTGACTTTGGAGGCCGCTCAAGGATCTTGGTGAACTGCTGCTGCGGAGTGGGACATCCTGGAGCTCTGCGGGCATGCCGGACAGGCAGCTTCAACATCTTCACGTTGAGGTCGCGCTCGCAGGCTAGCGTCGACACGGGCTCTCCGAAAATCTGCGTCCACTCAGCCTCCTTCGCTGCAAGCTTCCGCTGCTCCGCCTCAGACAGCTCCACGGGCTTTTCGACGAGGTCCTCCGGCTTCACCCTCACCGTGCAAACTTCCATCAAGGTTCCCTTTGCCCTGTTTCGCGGCCAGACAGCCTCGTGGACTTCGCTTTCCTGGCCAGCCTTTCGCACGATAACCTTGAATGGAACGTTGGCGCTGTCACGATTGTTGTAGTTGTTGACCTTCATGACGAAGGTTCCCACTTGGTTCAGCGATATGTTCTCGGCCGGGTTCTTCTCGATGTTTGACGCATTTGCGTCAAAGTCCAGGCAGCAGCTTTCCACCTTCTTGTTGCCGTAGAAAAGCTCCTTCCCCTTCACCCAGGTGTGCAAGTCGAGGTCTGACTTATGGGGGCTGCCGTCCAGGCCCCAGACCAAAGTCACGGTGCACAGCGACTTCACTTGCTTGTCCCGCAAAAGCTCCGCGACACGTGAGACCATGTACGTTGCTGGATTGCTTCGATCGTCCATCATCGCCACAAGGCCCTCCAGGTTAACGGAGGTGTCCATGAAGTCCACCAGATTGCTGGCCTGCTGCATGTCCAGATGCACATTCCCATGGGACCGTCCTGTCAGCATCGCATAGATCATCACGTGGAACTTTTCATGGAAAGCAAGCTTCTCCCAGCTCTTGCCGCGAGCTTCAGCAACAAAGTTCACAGCCCATTGGACAACAGCCCTCCAGTGGTCCGGGCGCACCAGCCGGGGAATCGCATCCTGGATGACTTTCAGCGAAGCTGGGTCGTCCACCAAGCGCTGGAATCGGTTCTCGAAGGAGCCGTTCATGTAAAGCTTCAGATCCTTTAGCCTCTGAGATAATCCAGCGTCCGAGAGTTGGTCGCAGGTGAAGTGCACGTGGCTGAATGGTCCAACCTCTATGGGATATTCCTTCACGAAGTCCTCGTCAATGACCACGGCAGTGAGCTCAGATACGTTCTGAATCTTCTTCCAATGCTTCTGGCGCAACTGTCGAAGTGTCTGTACGTTTGACTCCTTCACGTCGTTGAATGCGAGGAATGACCCGTTTTCACCCATCAACTGCGCGAACTTCGGCATGCGGTGCTTGCAGGTGTTGCACCGATTAGACAGGTTGGATGCACAGAGACGGCTCTCGTGCTTGGGTAAAGCTTCCCGAGGCTGAAGGCAGAAGAGCAGCTTCTTGTTCTGCACCTGCACACAGCAAGCCTTCATGGCAGTGCTCTCGATCTTTCCGTAAGCTTCCTTGCATGCATCGGATCGATCGTCGACTTTGGGGGCGTCCACGACCTCCCAACCCTCATCGCCAGAGCCAGCCATCCCAACTAAAAACTGTCCGGCGCTGGTGAGTGGCACTGGTGAAAACTAAACACTTGAACCTAAGGGTCAGGGTCGAAGGGTTCATAAATGGGTAAATGGTATCTTGAGACTGCTGGTAGTGACGACGATGACGGTGGGGATGATGATGAATATGATGATGGTGATGGTGATGGATGACAGCATCGAGCACGTCGAACTACAGCTCCGCCTGGTTCGTGCGATTCACGGTGCTGCACAGAGAGGTAGGCGCTGAATCCTGGCATGATAGCTGCAAGAGTGCAGAAGGCAGCGGCACAGCCCCGGAAGTAGCAGCCCCTTCACAAATCTCCTCAGCACGCGGGACCCAGGCAGAAGGGAAGTCGCAGGGCTCGAAAGGACCCCAAAGCGCAAGAATTCACAGAACGAACAGTGTTAGTATATTTTGCACGTTATTATAGTATGTGATAGCACATTGTAGACCAGTGCGGTAGAGAAAGACATCTCAAGCAATGCTCAAAGCGCCAAGATGACTTGGACAAGGCAGAGCGGGACCGTCGTCATCCGAAAGAACACAGGTTGCCAAGAAGTACAACTAGGACTAAGACTGGATGCAAGACCGGTATGCAATGGATCCGAAAACTGGTGCCCTTGCTACCAGCATAAACCTTCTTAGGAGGAACGGTCATGTCTTTGTTCCCGATGCTACTCCAACCCGGGACGTGGCTTCGAGCCTTGCCACTGGTCAAGTAGCTTGAACCGCTGGGTGCCAGTGTGGTCGGCATTGCAGATGGCGCCTCGGTCGATGTTCCGGGCGCTTCGGGTCACATGTAGAAAGCCTCCTCGGCAAAGATGTGTCGAGGACAAAACGAACCCGGAAGGGTCACATGTTAGCGAAAGCAGAAGGTTGCAGTGATGATGAAGTGTCAAGCTGCATTGCCACAGAAAGAATGAACAAAGGCTCAGGCTGCGTTTCGGAACCTTCCGGGCGTCGGAACCTGCCGCAGAAGGCAGAGGATCAGTCCCTTGATGTTTGTCAGCTGCGAACCAAGCCAAGATTCGTCGAAGTCCTATGTAGGTCTATGGAAATTAACTTAACTGAAGCCACCATGGCAACGAAGTTCTGAAGCCGTCGTAGCCAATATGCGTTCCCATTCGTGGTAGCTTGAATGAGTTCGTGGACAAGGACTCGATTAAAGATACCACAAAAACGCCTGTTTGAGGTACTGCGCCAGAGTCTGCTGGCTCCCACCATGGAAGCTGCCTGACAGGCAGTTTGCACTCTTCAGCCCGTGGTGTTTCTTAAGCAATTACTAGCTTTTCAAGCACGGATCCTACTGGTACTCTCTTGGAGGTTCCTTAAAAGTATAATGGGCCTCAAAACGCTATTCCAATGATTGAGGCCCCTATATTACCACTTAAGCTCTTGAACGACCTGCGAAGCTCCACTGCACATTTGGGCCACGGCCAGGGGCAAGGCTTTTGGTGTACGCCGGGGTCGGCGCGGCCGTCTGCCATACCTGTCCGGCACTCATGTTTGGGTTGACAATTGATCTTCAGCGAATAGGGGCTAAAGGACAGACTGTAGGTTTGTACGATATAGGGCACACAGGCGACAGGGTTTTAAGTTTATCTGTACCGACCATATTTGCATAAACATGTTGCTGTTACGAGGACTGACACCCTGCTGCACATGCATGAGTTCGTCATACTCGTTCTACACAAATCCTGCCGGTCTTCGTCCTGTGAAGATGATACAGAAAAACATAATATTATCGTGAAACAATGAAACATCAACTCGAAGATGCACTTTTATCCATGCGCAGCAATAAATTGTCATGTGACTGTGCGCGGATGGGGAAACTCGATGTGACCATGTCCTACGTTGAGAAACCTGGCTTTTGGCACTGGCGGCCTAACCTTTGAATGCCTCCTCCTCCTCGCCCTGGTCCCACTTCCAGATGCTCAACGAAGATCGTGAGAGGGGGCACCAGGGCACCAATCGTCTGGGGAGTCAAAACTTTGCACTTTCGTTTGGTCTTCAGCATCCCGGCTCTGGGTCGGACAGCATGGCACGTGGGGAGAGGCCTTCCGTCGAAACCACATCTAGAGAGATGCACCACACTCGATAAGCATGCGAGTTTCGTCGTGGCGTTTTCTTTTAATTGCAGCCGTTTCATTGATATCGTCCGGAAAAAAGTCGCTTCGAACCCTAGACTCAGCAGAAACCTTACCATGGCGAGACTGGCTCTCGATGCAGCGTAACTTAAAGCGGCAGTTTTCTGTCGACCCCCCCAAGTCCGCTCCCATCTTGACAGTGTCGGACCCACGACGGGTTCAGACTGCTGCAAAAACAGGAAGTTCTGCTCCAAACGCGAATGTCGCTAATCTACATGGGCACCTTCCACTGCTTTCTTGGTTTCGGCGAAGTCGCCAGCTCTCGCTTTGAAAGATAATCGATCGAGATTCGCGGGCTTTATGTCCGACTTGAACCTTTCTTGAGCCCGAGCTTCGATTGGACTGTGCCTCCCTTCCAAACCAACCCGTCCGTCCAAGCCTGACTGTGAGACATGGACAATGCACATTCAAGCGGCAAGATGTGGAAGGCGGCTGCATGCGACATGTGGTGTTGTGATGTCACGCGTTTGGCCTGGGTGGTGGGCTGCGCAGCTGTTGCCGTTGCAGAAGGCTGTGCAGAGGGCATGGTCCCATGGGTCCCATAGGTGGTTTTCAACGCCTGGCCCAGGGTCCAACAGGCGATCACTTCATCAATGCGGAAGGCCCATTCGCTCAGAGCGGTGCGTTCATGTAGCGAGGTGTAGGAGATGAGTACCTGGAATCCAAAGAGACACGCAGCCCCTCAGTCCCAGACCAAAAGCGCCACTCCAAAACGTGGCTTCCGGAGCTTCGGGGCCCCCACTCCCTCCGTGGAGTGCTGGATCGGCTCCGGACCTCGGCAGGAGAAAAGTCGGGTGAAAGAGAGATTCGAAGCTTTGACCTTTGAGAGTCTGGGGAGTTCCAGGTGCCAGGCTGGGTAGTAGTACCTGCCGGGTGCTGGCCCCACTTCTTCGTTGCAGACCTTCCTGCACACCTAACTTCCCTTGTGCCGACTCTGGCCATTTCAACAGCAAACAGCATGAACCCCAGCCCAAGCATTTCCCTGACAAAGCCTTCGCGCGCGACCTGAAACCTGAAACGTGTGAGGTCCCCTGCTTCAGCCGGCCTTAGAGGGGCACGGCTGCGCGGAGGCTGGCAGGGCAGAAGGCAGGAGAGAGTTTGTTGAATCTCTTCGCAGCCAGAGTTTCTCGGCTCTCTTTGCAACTGAACCCGTGTCCGACCTCATAGGAAAAGTCACGTAAGCGTTGCCTGGGCGCATGTAGCATGTAGAAGGCATGGAGCAGCCCAAGGAGGACAAGACTTCCCCCTTCCCCTTCCCCCCTCTCTGAGGCGGCAGCTTGCTCGAGTAGGCAGGGACGACCACGGAGCAGGGCTGAGAGCTTTGCCTCGGACCGAGGGGGGGACCCGGGCCCGGTCCGCGGAGCTGCTCTCAAGCTCACAAAGAGCTGAGGGTGTCGCAGCCAGCTAGGAGCCTCGGAGTCCAGTAGACCACCCTCTTGAGATAGTCTTTCTTGGCTATGATGGCTGCTCTTGTTCCTCGCTTGCTATCCTTCGTTACAGCTGCTTGTGAGTGAGTCTATGGATGCTGTGACTGAGATTCTTCGTCGTAGAAGCAGTGCCAGCACAGCAAGAAGTCGTGGTGGTGGTGTACATTGTTCTGGTTACGCTTAGACTAGTAGGGCCGCTTAGTAGGGCAAGCATGATGCTGCGGCCTACAGCACCACCTAAGCTGCCTGAACCGAGGCACAGGGACGTTCTGAGACAGCGAAGTAGTCCACATCGACTTCGAGTCACCCACCTACAGCCAGCGCGGAGTTTCCCACTTGTCGGATGCTTCAGAGGCTCTCCGTACTCCACGGAACACCGCTGAGTAATAAGCCCCGGCGAAGTCAAACTGCCCCACTTCGTTGGGGATGGTGTCCACGCGCTGCAGTGTGTCCTGTCACGCGCGAAGGCTGCCCAAAAATCTGACATTGGAGTGCAACAAAGGATGCAAACCGATCGCCTCGCTTCTGCCAAGCGTATGGAGCTGCTTCTGCTGGGGTCGATGCCTCACTTGATCACGTTCAATTGAATTCGGCTACTCTTGTTTCACGACTCATGCATGAGTGTTGCATATTTGTCCCGCAACGCAAAAAAACGCGGACACGTCCCTACGAGGCAGGGCTTACAGGGTTTTGTCAAGCATTTGTCATCCGCGCATATCACTTTGCCAAGAGAAAGGCCACACTTCACAAGTAGTGCTCTCCGGGGACGCTACATCCTCGCCCAGCTCTCGTCGTTCAGAGCACCGGTTAACCTCGGTTCTCACTACCCCGAGCATATAACTCCCTTTTGTAGACACTCTCATACTCTCTCGTTTTATGTCGTGCTGGGATTCGGCTATGATCATCGATGAACCTGCATTCTTAGACTCGGGGCTCCCGTGTCAGCACAGCACAGAGGTTCTGACGCCGCAGGGTCCAGCAACTGGGAAGTCGACATCTCAGCACAGCGAAGGCACTCCGCGAGCTGCAAAAGGATGCGAAACGGAGGACAGGTTTTCCAAGATGCCGACGCATGGCGCAGAGGGAGTCAGGGTCGCTGTCTGTGGTGCAGAGCTGACCTCCACGACGGGAGACGCGATTTGAGGAGCTTCCATTTTGATCTCCCCTTTTTCAACTTTGAGCCCTGGTCTCCCCAGCCAGAACTTCGCGTTAAGTCAAGTCTCATTTTTCAATCTACCCAAGTCCCTGGCCTGTCGGTGTCGGGACACCGGGGACGGCTGTATCGAATGGGGCATCGGCATCGGTGGCACGTCAAAGACCCCCTGGCACATCAGCGAGCCGTTTTGTTGGACAGGAGCTACGCAATTTGACACATCCCGAAACTCCAGACCCTTCAGTTCTTTGGCGGTGCTCACACGCCTTTGGCACTCCTTCCTCAAAGCGCTACAAGTATCTACAAGTAAAGCAAAGCGAAGACTTGGATAATTCAGGGCCCCAAGGAGTGCCTGCATTGGGCCAGGCAGCGGCAGGTCCATGGGAGGACCCCTCATAAAGAAACAGCTGCTGCTTTCAGGCCGGCTCAGGCGGGGATGGCTTGCTGGGGTGGGCTTCGGAGTTCGGCTCCCTGATGCTCCGGGGCAGAGCCTGAACGGGCTGACTCGCTCATGCGGCTCCGTTTCCTGTGCCCGAGATGCAGTTGAACGCGGGGTATGAAGCCTTCCACAAGGAGCACTTCGCAAACCCAGCAGGTTGGCACTCACTTGGAGGAAGCCTACAGTAGTGGCAGGCTATGCAGGCTTCAGTCTGAGCCAACCCGCCAGGTCCACAAGCCCTTTGTCTCTCTACAGACCTTCACCGGCGCGGCTGTTGCGGTCGCCGAGCAAATCCGCTCCGGGCTGTCTCAGTGAGTCTGACCGTCAGCTCCCCTCAGACTCAGAGCGGATTTGTGGGAAAAACGCCTTCTGCGCAGTAGCGAGCATCGCTCGGCCAGCCCACGCCGAAGGCCGAAGGGCAAGCTTCGCTTTACCGTCAAATCCTGGAACACTCGTAACTCGCAGTCTCAGTCTCACAAATCCGGAATTGGCCCCGAATTCATGCCCCAACCACACACCATTCCGGGGGCTTCGACCCCCACACGGCCTTAATCCAAGGATCTCCCAAGCCTCCCTGCCTAAACCCACATGAGCATCTACCATCTACCTATCCAACTCTCTTCCGGCTCCGACGCTCACTTCCAGCGCGCTTGGCCTCGGCCACGAGTCGTTTGCCCTTGCACGGTTCGCAGTCGCACTGGCCTCCCGGCCTCCCTTCCGGGCACCCCGACGCGCATGCGCGGAGAACCTCTCTGCTTCAGGCGTCGAGGCCACGGATGGCCAGGACCCGCCTTGCCAGGACACGGAAAAGGAGGGCAAAAGCCGAAAGCCAAAACCTCTCTAGCAGCCCGAGCCAACGACTTCAGAACATCGCCAAAAATGTTGTCCGGCGTGGACCTTGACGACTGGGCATTCGGAGAATCGCAACAACAACTGCGAGCGACTTGCAGCTCGCAAGACCGTGCAAGAGGGGATCTTTTTGAGACGTCTTCGCCAGCTCACACACGCCCGGCGTACCGTTCCCATCTCTTCTGGTCGCCCACCACCTCCGCTCTGCTCGAGTTCGGGAGCGTGCAGCTCTTCCGGCGCTGTGTCCGCGAAAGCCGCTCATCTCTCGGCCAGGAAACGTCCCTCTCCGAGCGAGGCTCAGCAGACCTCTGCCTCTAAGTCGGTATCCTCTAGGGAAGCGGGTGCTCCTTCAGCCACTTCGGCGAGTACTCGACCTTGATCTGATCCATCTTAGCTGCCAAAACGAAGTCGGGAAGCGAGAGTCCTCCGATCGCGTGCGTGCTCAAATCCACCCGGACGTGTCGATAGGAAGTGATGTGCACATCCGGGTGGTGCCCCTCCTGCTCGGCCAAGACGCTGACCTGTGCCGGGCTCTCTACCAGTAGCGGCGGGAGGTAACGGACACTAGCGGTCTCTCCCGCGCCTCGTTGAGGAAGCTCATGGCCGCCGCCCAGTTCTTGGCCACGAAGCTGCGGCTGATCGAAGCGCCGTCTGGCGACAAGACCCAGAGAGGCAACGAGGGGATCCTCGCCAAGACCTCCTCCCGGCTCAAGCCGGGGGTGTCCTTGCCGCAGCAGCCGCCGATCTTGCCTCGGAAAGGCAAAGGCCCCATCGGCCCCATCCCCAAGGACTCGGACCCTCCTCTTCCTCCTCTTCCCTGCTGCCAAAAGCACAGCTGAGGAGTTCTTCGGTGCTCTCTGCCTCGCCCACCTCAAGGCAAGGAGCGCTAGTAAAGTCCTGCCATGTCCTCCTACCCGCGACAGAACGGCGCCAAGGCATGAAGGGGCACAAAAGTGAAGAAACTGCTCCCAAAAGCACCTTCAGAGCCAGGCCACCCTGGGCCTCTGCTTCTGCCATCGGGGACAAATGGCTCGAGCTTCTATCTATCCATCTATCCCCTGTTCTGTGATCGAACGATCTACTTGAACGGGGTGCCTTGATCTCTGTTTGAGCGCATGTGCGTGTGCTTCAGAATCTCGTCTAACGAGCATTGCACGAGCCGCAGTGCAGAAAAGGCTCAGTACTTCGGACTCTTGGAATAACATGTGTGTTCTGACCTGGGGCAGTGGCGCGCCGGAGGTAATGCCAATGGTGACGGGACCATCTGGGAGGAAGTTCTCCGTGATCTGCAAGTGCTGGACAGCTGCATTGCATTTCCAAGCTGTTCTCTCGCTGGACGTCTCAGGTTGTTGGATGAAATCCCACAAGGCTGTGCGGCAGCCCAGCTTTCTAAAGCCGCTGTAAATCGATCCCATAGTCTCCCTCTGGACGTACCTTATCTGTTCCGACATGGCCTTGCGAAATGGGAATCGCTGCGAGACGACAGGAGCCTCAAGGCCCTCGTCCAGCATAGCTTGCGCAGGCAGCGTGGTCAGGGGCTTGTGCTGCGCAGGGACATGGACGAAGTGATGTCAAATCCGAACACGAGTCTCGCACACGAGAGTCTTCGCACATCTTGGCTGACCAGACACTGCAACACACAACATGGCAGCACCGGATGCCTGGATTTTGTTGGTGGCCTCTCCACCAGCAACTCCGATGCGCTCCGCGCAGTCGATATGATACCTTGCATTCATGCGAAGCAGGCCTGCGATGTTGGACCAGAGGACGGGCACCAAGCTCCCCAAACGCCATGAATGGTGCTGTCTGCGCTGTGATTCTGCTGCGATTGCTACAAGTATTGCACTGCTGCTGCTGCTGCTGCTGCTGCTGCCGCTGCCGCTGCTCCTCCTCTTCCTCCTCCTACTACTGCTGCTGCTACCACCACCACCAGCACCACCAGCACCACCACCACCACCACCACCACCACCACCACCACCATGACCACTGCTACTGCTACTGCTGCTGCTCCTGCGCCTGCGACGGCGATTGCGAGTGCCACCGCTACTGCTACTGCGACTGCTACTGCGACTGCCTGCGTTCTTGTCTGCATAATCATGAAACACCTTAATGCTGCACTTGCCATGGCTTCGTCATGATTCTGGTTGGTAAGCTGTTAGTCTCTCTCCCTCCATTGCGTTTCATGGGCCTCTCGGAACAAGACTGAACAACATGGCAGCACTAACAAAGCCGAGTCGGGACCGCAGCAGGTATTCCTGGTGTCCTTATGCTTATACGACCCTGTTAAGAACTCAACAAAGGACTGGCATTGGGAGTCGCACGCAGGCACGCCCTCGTCCTCCGCAATTTCGAGGAGGTGGGTCTTGGCAGCTGGCAAGCTTGGATCTGGGAAAGGTGAACAAATGGCAACATTCTCGCAGGAAGTCTAGAGAGCACAGTAGGGCAGCGGCGGTGTTCGACGAGTTGTAGCCACCGAGTACCAAGCAACTGGGCACGGCCAATGCAGCAGCGAGCACAAGCCACGAGCCCTCACTTGGCAACATCTGGTCCAAGTTGACACTGGCTGGACTCCTTCTGGACCGTTACAGTTTTTAAGATCGCCGCGGAACTGCAAAACATGCTGAGCGCCTGACAAGTCGACCCTGTGCGGAGGGACTCTTGCTTCGGAGAGGTAGAGTGCAGAATTCTAATTTAACTCCGTGTACAGCACACTACCTTCACAGGACTGCAACAGCTTAACTGCGCATATTGCAGAGCGAGTGTCTTGGACGGCATGTCAGCCGACATCTCGCCGCCTTTCGCTGAAACGGCTTGCGCTCGCAGCTCGGTCACGGAACGCATCGCAATACGGTGCGGGAAAGCATCGAGAGGGGGCAAGAACAGCTTTGGCGACTCCCAGCCACCTCCTTTGGAAGCCGCCTCCATCTTTCTAGACCTGGGCGAAGTGTCGGAGAATGGGGACGACGGTGCCGGGGCCATAACCAAGGCTGCCGTCTTCAAATCGAGGCAACACATGGTCGATCCTGGTCCAAGTCTATGTACAACTCACCTCGGCCCCAGGTTTTCAAAGGGGGCGAGGTCCTACACCACGTGTCAATCGTCGCACATTCCTGCGACAAAAGGCATCGAGCGTGTGTCGGGACCGTCGAGAATCTGCGAGTCCAGGCCACGCGCCTGGCTGCTCACTCCTTGTGCCTGCGCTTGGAGCTACTTTCATCTCCACCTGGGATCAAAAGAGCACAATTCGCAAAGCTGGGGCAAACCTCCGCCGCTGTCGGAATTTCAGGGTCGCTCCCAAGACGAAAACACGTGGAAACGAAACAGCCAACTGGCATGGTCACGAACTACGACGGGGAACATACTGTACATATCATATATCATGAGGTGTGGCGAGCATCTTAAACTAGCAAGTCATGTGCGCCGCAAGAACTAGCATTGATGTCACGATTACCATAGCGCCACTTTTAGTTCTACAGTTGCTGTTGCCACCACCAGCACCACCACCACGACTGCTACTGCTGCTGCTGCTGCTACTACTACTACTACTACTACTACCACTGCCACTGCCACTGCCACTGCCACTGCCACTGCCACTGCCACTGCCACTGCCACTACCACTACCACTACCACTACCACTACCACTACGACTACTAATAGTAACAATAATACTACTACGACTACTACTACTACTACGACGACGACTACTACTACTACGACTACCATTACTAATACTGCTGCTACCACTACTGCTGCCACTACTACTACTCCTCCTCCTCCTGCTGCTGCTACCACTACCACTACCACTACCACTGCCACTGCCACTGCCACTACCACTACCACTACCACTATCAGCACTACCACCACCACTATCAGCACTACCACTACCACTATCAGCACTACCACTACCACTATCAGCACTACCACTACCACTACGACTACTACTACTACTACTACCACCACTACCACCACCATACTACCTACTACCTACTACCTCCTTCCTCCTACCTCCTCCTACCTGCTACTTGCTACCTACTACCTACTACCCACTACGCCTACAACCTACTACGCTACCTACCTACTATGCCTACTACCAACTGCCTACAACACCTACCTACAAGATTGCGACTGTGACTGCGACGAAGACGACTGCGACTGCGACTGGGACTGCGACTAGACTGCCTTTTAATCTGATATTCAATGGTCGAGCAGGGGCCTCGATCTCTTGGAGGCGTCCGGGACCGTTGTGCCGGCCTAGCGGATGTGCAGAGGGAGCCATGCTTCCACAGCTTCTCGGGATTTTAGATGGGTTTCTAGAGGGTTATGTACAGGGCTTGGGGTTTTTAAAGGCTTACAGGCTTACGCACGGCTCTTAGGTATCTTAGAGAGTGTACATTCGCGGCTTGTGGGTCTGCGGGGTTTGCACGACGGGTTTAGGCTTCGAGGTACGTGTACGGAACCATGACGTGAATGCGCAGGGCCGCTTGGAAGACCGCTGCCTGTCTTTTGCAGAAGCATCCTCGGTCTTCTGAGGCTGGCCATCAGCTTGCTCTGTTTGCGTCTGGAGCCTGACTGCAAAAACTGCAGTGCTGAATATCGAACTTCAGAATTGAGGCATGCGCTTCTTCTGCTTCTTCAGCTCTTTCTTCAGTTTCCTGAGAACTGAGGGCATTTCAAGTCGTGGCATAACTCCTACACTGGCCTTCGACCCAACAGAAGAAGCTAGATTCGTACCAGTTGCGTACGAGGGGCTTCTTCTCTTTCTTCGCCTTCTTCTTGGCTTTCCTTGGTCGAACTTGGTCGAACTAATTTGAGTGATGCCGACACCCTGTACGGGTGAGGCTGGAAGCCCGCGTCGGTGAATCCCCCCGAATTATTGATGGCCGGGCTTCTTCTTGGCTTTCTTCTCCGATTTGCTGGTATCCTTAGGACCATCGCAGACATCTCTCAAGCAAACCACGCAAAAGCTGCGCATAAACCAATGGATCAGTCCAAGGCACAGAGCTGCTGGAGTCTTGAAGCTTCTCAAGCTGCCTGAAAAGCAGCGCAAGCGCGGTCCCTTCCAAGTGCAGAACCCTCGGCCCTGAGCCCGGAGGCCCCGGTCGCCTCTGCATCCATGTGTTCGGGAGGCTGCTTCGCTGCATCTCTTCCAAACCTAGCGCGAGGCCTCGAGAAAGCAGAGCCACTGAGCCACCACCGCACACTGATACTGAGCCAGACTCCCTCAAAGCACTGCAAGGACCCCTGAAGTCAGACCCAAGAAGTTGAGACTGCAAGGATAGCCCAAGCCACCTTGCGGCCCATCAAAGTTTCGGAATGCATGGTACCGGTCGAAGGCTGCACACATCGGCGCAAGAAGGCTTCGGATCACGGATCTGCTCCGAGATGCGGGGAGCTGCTAAAGAAAGTGTCACGAAACTAGACCCCGAGCTGTACCGTTTCCTTCCTGTCCTGTGCAGAGTTGGGTCAAGTCTGGAATTTCTGAGCACTCTCGGCTGCGAAGCATCTCAAAAAGGCGGCTTTGCACACAGGCACAACCGCAACCCTGAATCCTGAACGGAGAGATTTCCCAGAGTTCATGAGCGCCGAGCTCCAGCCTTTCTGCTTCCTTGGCCGACAGCAAGGAGATGCCGACCTTCGCAGCTTCCCTCCACCCTCCGCTGAACTTCACAGAGACAGGGGGTAGTCCGACTTGGAACAGCAACGCAGTGCAGTCTGTAACAGCGCAACGGACTTTTCAACAGCGGGTCAGGGCTGAAACTCGAAGAAGGAAACAACAAGGAAGCCAGAGTTGAGTAGGTACGCTTTTAATATCGTTGAATATCAGTGGTAGTAGTGGCAGCGGTGGCAGTAGGAGTAGTGGCGGCAGTGCTAGCTGTAAAGGCAGTGGAAGTGGTAGCGGTAGCAGCCGCAGCTGTAGCGGCAGCTGCACCGGCAGCAGGCAGTGGGCAGTTGGAGGCGGTAGGCGGCAGGCGGCAGGCGGTAGGTGGTGGCGGTAGCAATCGGAGCGGGAGTAGGAGTAGTAGTAGTAGTAGTAGTAGTAGTAGTAGTAGTAGTAGTAGTAGTAGTAGAAGTAGCAGTAGTAGTAGTAGTAGAAGCAGTAGTAGTAGTAGCAGTAGCAGCAGTAGTAGCAGTAGTAGCAGCAGTAGCAGTAGTGGCGGCAGTAGTAGTAGTAGTAGTAGTAGCAGCAGTAGCAGTAGCAGCAGTAGTAGCAGTAGTAGCAGCAGTAGCAGTAGTGGCGGCAGTAGTAGCAGTAGTAGCAGTAGCAGTAGTGGCGGCAGTAGTAGTAGTAGCAGTAGCAGCAGTAGTAGCAGTAGTAGTGGTAGTAGTAGTAGTAGTAGTCGGAGTGGGAGTAGGAGTAGGAGAAGACCCTTCCATGTTGCGCCTGTTCGCCCTCAAGCTCCGCGTAGAGGTTGGACTTCGGGGCCTGCTGACATGCTGTCAAAACCTTTCTCCAAAGTTTAGTGTGTTTAGTGGGGTTTCGAGATCCTTCTGGGCACCAACCTCCCGCCTGAATCCTTTGCAGTTCGTTACCATTTCAGGGTGATGCGCGCATCTATCGCATCACCATCCAGAACATGCGCTCCTTCAGATACCTGCAACAACGCAGCGCAGCAGATGCGCAGCAGATGCGCAGCAACAGCGCTACTGAGGCGAGTCAAAGGCATCAGCAGAAGACTTGTTTCTCCAGGGCAGGACTGGCGGGCAATCTCCGGCATGCTCTCCACTCACAAGAGTTCGAGATGTGACCGGCCCTGATGAACCAGCCCTAATTGGGTGGCGTCTGCTTAAACGCAGCTCCCCTTGGACTCCGAAGTGTTGGTGCCCTCATCGACCAGCGCTGGTGTGGTGGTGATGGTGGCCACCGCCGCTGCCTCCGAGCTCCTGCGACTTCGAGAACATTCGAAAACCGATGAAAGGCCCTCGGACGAACGAGCCAGGCCTGGCAGACCGATTGCCCGGAGGAGCAGCAACTTCCACCTCAAGACAAGTCTGCGACAAACTCTTCACTACATCGACGCAGCAACAGGTGCCCCGGCCCAACCAGTCCACCGAGTACATGAGCGGGCTGTGCCAAACTTCGATATCGTCACCTAAGAATGCTGCGTTTGAGACTGCAAGCGCTTCGAACCAGTACACAGGGCTGCTGGTCAGGCTGCGCTCAGACAAGAGGCACGAGTGCTGGCTCTTGGCCATCGCAATGCCCTGTGCAGGTTCAGCTTGCCATGTCACGGGCATGCAAAGCGGGATTGCCAACGCAGCATACCGCTGGACGGCAGCAACGCCTGGCCTTGTGCACTTCCGTAGACATGTACATCAGATCTTGCCAGCACTGGTACTCATCCCAACGACCACCTCACGACACTGCAAGATGTCACTGAGAGTTCGGGTGACTTCAATGGGCCACGGTGGGCCGCCCACCCGGCCTACGGCAGCGCAGCCCTCTTTGGTTTCGCAGTGGCAGTGCCACTCGTTGCCCTCGCAGCCGTTCGAGTTGCATTCGTCCACGGAGGGAGCCGCCTCATAGGTGTCGCACCAGGCCCACATCGTCTTGTTGTGCTCGAAGTCCTGACCCACATCGCTTGAAAACTTCGACGCTTCGCTACTGCTTCGCTATCTTCGCTTCGGCAGTCCTCGTTGTGCATGCAGGGTGTTTGCGGCGTGAGATCCTTGTCGCAGACCGTCGCCGGGAAGGATGCGCAGCATTTCGTCGACGGCCACGATACGAGATCCTGCTGCCGTGACCGCCGTAGAGACCGCACCAAGCAGCTAACTAACCTATGCAGCCATCTCAGGCAGAGCATGCAGAACTGCAGAACCCCCGAGTCCGACGCACGCATACCGTTGGCCTCCAGCCAAAGCAGGCTCTCGCATAATAAAGTCTTGGCTACGCTGCTGCGCTGCTACTTTCCCGGTCTCCAGCCTCCAAGTCAAGGCAGCTGCCGCTGGAGTCGGCCAAGTGCAACATCTCGCGCTGTTCTTGACTGGCGGGACAGGTGCCGCACTCGCACGAGTTCAAGAGGCAAAAGAACTCCCCCCACCCCTTGCGCCTAAACATCTCCACCTCCATGGTACAGGTTTGAGCGAACCAGTAGCCACCCACGGCGAGGCAACCCTCCTTACCCTCACAGTGGCACCAGCCCATTCCACCGTAACAACCATCTTGAGCATTGCAGGTCGCTTCCTCAGGCGCAAACAAGCGCAAACATGCCAAGGATTGCCAAGACTTTTGCCAAGGCTGCCGAGCTTCGTCTGGCAGCACGGCACCGTGCCCGTAGAAGTCGCAGTAAGCCCACATCTCTCTCTCGGGAAGGAAGTCGGCGGCATCCTTGCAAATGGGCGCCAAGGCAGCGCCGTAGAGGCTCTCGTCGTCGGCCCGACTTTGACCTTAGACTTGGACCCCGCTCACGTCAGGAATAAACACGAAAGCGCGGGAGGGCGCCGGCCAATGCAACGCCTCACAACCTCCGGGACGCTCGCGGGCGCCGTGCTGCAGCAGCGCCGACGACTTCGCTGCACAAGCGGAATCTCCTGCCGCGGGAACTCTGGGCTCACCAGGGCTCACTCATGATTGCCATGTCCGGCAGCATGATCGCCTGGGTCGCAGAGCTCGAAGGCCCCTTCGAAAACCGGGAGTGCAGCAAGTAGAAAACGCAAAGTCGACCTCGAAGCCATCCTCCGGGCGATGCGCAAAGACTTTGAACGTTCCGTCGTAGCGAGACAAGACGCGAGTGTGCATCCAAGTCTCGCGGCAATCTCGAGGCAGCGGTGTGAGCAAGTAAAGTTTGTAATCGCTGATGCTTCACGGCTGCGGGACAGCAAGCCACACATGTTGTTCTGCATACTCCCAGAATGCCAGGCAAGCAGTATGATGTGGAGGAATGACTCTCGCTCAAGACTGGATGCACAGCTCACTAAGTAGATCATTGTTGCTTCAGCTTCACAGCCTTCGTTCCGGCTAGTCTTGCATGTCCATCCACCACTCTAGAAACAACATCATAGTAGGCGAGATAGAACGGGCGTACTGCCAGAGAACATGCTCACGGCGTGGCACTGCCTGAGGAACAGTGCAGCAGAAGGCGTAGTGTAGCATCATGAGTTCACATCATGGTATCGCAAGTCGTCCAACACTTCAACACTACCCTCGACAAGAAGTTCACTATGTGACGGTGAATCAGACGCATCTTGTGCGGAGTCTTCTGGATTCTTGCGTCGGAGCCACATCTTGTCATATGCTGTCCCACCCTTCAAGATGAACTCCTTCAGAAACTCGCAACAAACGCAGCGCAGCAGATGCGCAACCCCAACGACTTTTCTCCAGGCTTAGGACTGGCGGGCAATCTCCGGGATCCTCTCTGCGTAACTGCAAAGTGTGGTGCCCTCATCGACCAGCGCTGGTGTGGTGGTGATGGTGGCCACCGCCGCTGCCTCCGAGCTCCTGCGACTTCGAGAACATTCGAAAACCGATGAAAGGCCCTCGGACGAACGAGCCAGGCCTGGCAGACCGATTGCCCGGAGGAGCAGCAACTGCCACCTCAAGACAAGTCTGCGACAAACTCTTCACTACATCGACGCAGCAACAGGTGCCCCGGCCCAACCAGTCCACCGAGTACATGAGCGGGCTGTGCCAAACTTCGATATCGTCACCTAAGAATGCTGCGTTTGAGACTGCAAGCGCTTCGAACCAGTACACAGTGCTGCGGGTCCATCAATGCTGCGCTCAGACAAGAGGCAGGAGTGCTGGCTCTTGGCCATCGCAATGCCCTGTGCAGGTTCAGCTTGCCATGTCACGGGCATGCAAAGCGGGATTGCCAACGCAGCATACCGCTGGACGGCAGCAACGCCTGGCCTTGTGCACTTCCGCAGACATGTACATAAGATCTTGCCAGCACTGGTACTCATCCCAACGACCACCTCACGACACTGCGAGATGTCACTGAGAGTTCGGGTGACTTTAATGGGCCACGGTGGGCCGCACACCCGGCCGGCCTACGGCAGCGCAGCCCTCTTTGGTTTCGCAGTGGCAGTGCCACTCGTTGCCCTCGCAGCCGTTCGAGTTGCATTCGTCCACGGAGGGAGCCGCCTGATAGGTGTCGCACCAGGCCCACATCGTCTTGTTGTGCTCGAAGTCCTGACCCACATCGCTTGAAAACTTCGACGCTTCGGTACTGCTTCGCTATCTTCGCTTCGGCAGTCCTCGTTGTGCATGCAGGGTGTTTGCGGCGTGAGATCCTTGTCGCAGACCGTCGCCGGGAAGGATGCGCAGCATTTCGTCGACGGCCACGATACGAGATCCTGCTGCCGTGACCGCCGTAGAGACCGCACCAAGCAGCTAACTAACCTATGCAGCCATCTCAGGCAGAGCATGCAGAACTGCAGAACCCCGGGTCCGACGCACGCATACCGTTGGCCTCCAGCCAAAGCAGGCTCTCGCATAATGAAGTCTTGGCTACGCTGCTGCGCTGCTACGCTACCGGTCTCCAGCCTCCAAGTCAAGGCAGCTGCCGCTGGAGTCGGCCAAGTGCAACATCTCGCGCTGTTCTTGACTGGCGGGACAGGTGCCGCACTCGCACGAGTCCACGAGGCAAAAGAACTCCCCCCACCCCTTGCGCCTAAACATCTCCACCTCCATGGTACAGGTTTGAGCGAACCAGTAGCCACCCACGGCGAGGCAACCCTCCTTGCCCTCACAGTGGCACCAGCCCATTCCACCGTAACAACCATCTTGAGCATTGCAGGTCGCTTCCTCAGGCGCAAACAAGCGCAAACATGCCAAGGATTGCCAAGACTTTTGCCAAGGCTGCCGAGCTTCGTCTGGCAGCACGGCACCGTGCCCGTAGAAGTCGCAGTAAGCCCACATCTCTCTCTCGGGAAGGAAGTCGGCGGCATCCTTGCAAATGGGCGCCAAGGCAGCGCCGTAGAGGCTCTCGTCGTCGGCCCGACTTTGACCTTAGACTTGGACCCCGCTCACGTCAGGAATAAACACGAAAGCGCGGGAGGGCGCCGGCCAATGCAACGCCTCACAACCTCCGGGACGCTCGCGGGCGCCGTGCTGCAGCAGCGCCGACGACTTCGCTGCACAAGCGGAATCTCCTGCCGCGGGAACTCTGGGCTCACCAGGGCTCACTCATGATTGCCATGTCCGGCAGCATGATCGCCTGCGTCGCAGAGCTCGGAGGCCCCTTCGAAAACCGGGAGTGCAGCAAGTAGAAAACGCAAAGTCGACCTCGAAGCCATCCTCCGGGCGATGCGCAAAGACTTTGAACGTTCCGTCGTAGCGAGACAAGACGCGAGTGTGCATCCAAGTCTCGCGGCAATCTCGAGGCAGCGGTGTGAGCAAGTAAAGTTTGTAATCGCTGATGCTTCACGGCTGCGGGACAGCAAGCCACACATGTTGTTCTGCATACTCCCAGAATGCCAGGCAAGCAGTATGATGTGGAGGAATGACTCTCGCTCAAGACTGGATGCACAATCAGCTCACTAGGTAGATCATTGTTGCTTCAGCTTCGCAGCCTTCGTTCCGGCTAGTCTTGCATGCCCATCCATCACTCTAGAAACAACATCATAGTAGGCGAGATAGAACGGGCATACTGCCAGAGAACATGCTCACAGCGTGTCACTGCCTGAGGAACAGTGCAGCAGAAGGCGTAGTGTAGCATCATGAGTTCACATCATGGCCCAGTTTAGCACGACGTATCGCAAGTCGTCCAACACTTCAACACTACCCTCGACAAGAAGTTCACTATGTGACGGTGAATCAGACGCATCTTGTGCAGAGTCTTCTGGATTCTTTCGTCGGAGCCACATCTTGTCATATGTTGTCCCACACTTCAAGATGAACTCCTTCAGAAACTCGCAACAAACGCAGCGCAGCAGATGCGCAACCCCAACGACTTTTCTCCAGGCTTAGGACTGGCGGGCAATCTCCGGGATCCTCTCTGCGTAACTGCAAAGTGTGGTGCCCTCATCGACCAGCGCTGGTGTGGTGGTGGTGGTGGCCACCGCCGCTGCCTCCGAGCTCCTGCGACTTCGAGAACATTCGAAAACCGATGAAAGGCCCTCGGACGAACGAGCCAGGCCTGACAGACCGATTGCCCGGAGGAGCAGCAACTGCCACCTCAAGACAAGTCCGCGACAAACTCTTCACTACATCGACGCTGCAACAGGTGCCCCGGCCCAACCAGTCCACCGAGTACATGAGCGGGCTGTGCCAAACTTCGATATCGTCGCCTAAGAATGCTGCGTTTGAGACTGCAAGCGCTTCGAACCAGTACACAGTGCTGCTGGTCCATCAGGGCTACGTTCAGACAAGAGGCAGGAGTGCTGGCTCTTGGCCATCGCAATGCCCTGTGCAGGTTCAGCTTGCCATGTCACGGGCATGCAAAGCGGGGTTGCGAACGCAGCATACCGCTGGACGGCAGCAACGCCTGGCCTTGTGCACTTCCGTAGACATGTACATAAGATCTTGCCAGCACTGGTACTCATCCCAACGACCACCTCACGGCACTGCAAGATGTCACTGAGAGTTCGGGTGACTTCAATGGGCCACGGTGGGCCGCCCACCCGGCCTACGGCAGCGCAGCCCTCTTTGGTTTCGCAGTGGCAGTGCCACTCGTTGCCCTCGCAGCCGTTCGAGTTGCATTCGTCCACGGAGGGAGCCGCCTGATAGGTGTCGCACCAGGCCCACATCGTCTTGTTGTGCTCGAAGTCCTGACCCACATCGCTTGAAAACTTCGACGCTTCGCTACTGCTTCGCTATCTTCGCTTCGGCAGTCCTCGTTGTGCATGCAGGGTGTTTGCGGCGTGAGATCCTTGTCGCAGACCGTCGCCGGGAAGGATGCGCAGCATTTCGTCGACGGCCACGATACGAGATCCTGCTGCCGTGACCGCCGTAGAGACCGCACCAAGCAGCTAACTAACCTATGCAGCCATCTCAGGCAGAGCATGCAGAACTGCAGAACCCCCGAGTCCGACGCACGCATACCGTTGGCCTCCAGCCAAAGCAGGCTCTCGCATAATAAAGTCTTGGCTACGCTGCTGCGCTGCTACTTTCCCGGTCTCCAGCCTCCAAGTCAAGGCAGCTGCCGCTGGAGTCGGCCAAGTGCAACATCTCGCGCTGTTCTTGACTGGCGGGACAGGTGCCGCGCTCGCACGAGTTCAAGAGGCAAAAGAACTCCCCCCACCCCTTGCACCTGAACATCTCCACCTCCATGGTACAGGTTTGAGCGAACCAGTAGCCACCCACGGCTAGGCAACCCTCCTTGCCCTCACAGTGGCACCAGCCCATTCCACCGTAACAACCATCTTGAGCATTGCAGGTCGCTTCCTCAGGCGCAAACAAGCACAAACATGCCAAGGATTGCCAAGACTTTTGCCAAGGCTGCCGAGCTTCGTCTGGCAGCACGGCACCGTGCCCGTAGAAGTCGCAGTAAGCCCACATCTCTCTCTCGGGAAGGAAGTCGGCGGCATCCTTGCAAATGGGCGCCAAGGCAGCGCCGTAGAGGCTCTCGTCGTCGGCCCGACTTTGACCTTAGACTTGGACCCCGCTCACGTCAGGAATAAACACGAAAGCGCGGGAGGGCGCCGGCCAATGCAACGCCTCACAACCTCCGGGACGCTCGCGGGCGCCGTGCTGCAGCAGCGCCGACGACTTCGCTGCACAAGCGGAATCTCCTGCCGCGGGAACTCTGGGCTCACCAGGGCTCACTCATGATTGCCATGTCCGGCAGCATGATCGCCTGCGTCGCAGAGCTCGGAGGCCCCTTCGAAAACCGGGAGTGCAGCAAGTAGAAAACGCAAAGTCGACCTCGAAGCCATCCTCCGGGCGATGCGCAAAGACTTTGAACGTTCCGTCGTAGCGAGACAAGACGCGAGTGTGCATCCAAGTCTCGCGGCAATCTCGAGGCAGCGGTGTGAGCAAGTAAAGTTTGTAATCGCTGATGCTTCACGGCTGCGGGACAGCAAGCCACACATGTTGTTCTGCATACTCCCAGAATGCCAGGCAAGCAGTATGATGTGGAGGAATGACTCTCGCTCAAGACTGGATGCACAATCAGCCGCACTAAGTAGATCATTGCTGGTTCAGCTTCGCAGTCTTCGTTCCGGCGAGACAAAGCTAGGCTACAGTCTTGCATACCCATCATCGCTTCGTCCGAAGATGCTGGCAATGTCGGGCTTGCCTCGTACTCAGCGCCGAACATCTTGTACATGGCATCTTGCCTCTCCTCACGACAGGCTCGACTGACATTGCCACGGCTACTAGGCTAGACAGAGCGCCTGAGTGGCGTCGCAGATGGTGTTGAAGGACATGAAGTGTTCCTGAGATACTTCGGCAGGAGAACTCGCTAACCGCCTTGTTGCTTGAGCGATCAGAAAACGCTGCAAGATATCCGCCCAAATCACAGACCAGGGGCGTTGATGTTTTGCGGACCGTACTTCTTGATGAGGGTCTGCAGCGAAGATTGAATTCAGCATCCTACTGCCCTGACTGCACTAGAAGCCAATGGAAGCTACTTGCACACCACTCCGAGGCAAACGGCCTAGATAGACAAAGTCAATTGCCGAAAGCAAAAGATGGCGCCGACCCTTTCGAAGAGCTTGCCGATGAGCTCGGTCTCGCCCTTGCGGAGAGCTGGAGAGAAGGGTACCGGGGGCGAAAAGGCAGCCTGCCTTGAGCATCGTGGTCTGATTGGCCACGCCGACCCGATCCAGGTCTACATCGGGATCGAAGCCCGGACTCATGGCCTCCACAGCAGAACAGAGCGGAGCCCGGCATAGCAGCACAGCACGGGCGTCTTCCCCCGCCTTGCTGAACTTGGCCATGAACTCCTGACTTTAGCCAGCATTTCTGAAGTGCGAGCGAGGGGAGGGGAAGCGGCGCCCACCCGACTGGCCTCCTTATTGCCCTCTCCCAGCACGTAGGCTGCAACATACTCCGCTTCTGCCATGTTCTTCAGGACGATGTACCTGCCCCCACGAGCTAAGGCATAATTTGCGTCTTCTCGAAGACCCCAAAAGCTGAACTCTTACGCGATGAGGGTCACTTCGACGCGAAGGACTTGGTGGCCACAGTCTCCTCATGGTCATACCTGGAATTGCGCAAGGCGACCTTGCACTTCGACGAGCCTAGATAACACGAACAGAAGCTACTCGAGCATACTGTTACTGAGATTTACTCATAAATGATATATGTGGTAACCATTTACGACCTAACTACCCTGATCTACTAAGGTATAGGATAGGCTCCAACATATTATGATACACTTCCATCCGATATAGCATGCGATAATGTGCAAGGGAGGCCTTGTCATGTCAACCGGGTCGTAACAGATGATCCCTCTAACGGTGAGCTGTCGACTTGCTTAGAGGACTGTTCTGATGCAGATGTGTGGCCTGGCAAAAGAACTTCTGGAAAAGCAAATTTGGGCGGAACAGGAGCAACCTGACTCCTGACTTAGGGCCCTCGGTGCTCAAGGAACTCGAACGTCAACGATCACGACGGTAGCCGCGCAAATTGAGCAAAGCCCCGTCTGAAATCCTCCAGCGGCACTTGCCGTGGATGATGGCAGTATGATCCTTGTCCTCTCACAGGCATTGAAAGTGCGGCAGTGCATTGAAGATGGCACTGGTGTGGTGCGTTCATTCAAAACCGCAGGGTCCGAGCCAAAAAAGGCGACTCTCAAGAGTGTGCGCAAGACCGTTGTCCCCACAAAGGGGCCTTGCTGCGCTCCACGGAAGCCCAGACCTGGCGCAGCGCTCAAAGCACTGGATGATGCAGGTGAAAATTTCACCATCTCGACAACAACCACCGCAGCAGCAGCAGCAACAACAACAACACCAACACCCAACAGCAGCAGCAGAGGCAGCGACAGCAGCAGTAGCAACAGTGGCAGCAGCAGGTGCTGCCAACAGCAAGACTGCATTTGCTATCCGTCGACTGAGCCAGCCTTGGAAACCCATGGGCAGGTGGTGTCCACGATCTGGACATTGCGCTCCTCACAGTGTGGCTCTCATGCTAACCGGGGACCAGGTTGACTCTGGAGGTCTTGCCAGGGAACTATGGCAGTCCATGAGAGGAACCTACAGGGAGCACTGAGATCCTTTGATTCCCTTTGATTTTGGAGAAACGGTGAAGGATGCAGGTCGGCAGGGGCGGGAGCGAAACCTTCAGACTCCAACCAGCAATGCGACTGCAATGATTCGCTGCGGACGGCAACAAGCACCAAGAGCTGTACGCCAGATGCACATGATACCCAACAAACAAACTATCTGAGTCAACCGACTAGCGTTCAGTGCCAAACAGCTGTCATCATTGTCCCGACCCGGCGCACTTTCAGCAGTGCCATCTCGTCGACGGACGCACCGAAGGCGGGTAGAATGACAACCTCAGGACCAGCATCGACCAGGCGCCGGCGAGAAAGCGGAATCCAAGCTCGAGCCCTACTCCTGAGCCAGGTGCATCTCCCTCCTCCACGTCTGAATAATCCTGACAAAGGCAAAATATCGAGGGGTCCGATGCTTTTTGTGCCCAAACCCCCAAACCTGAACCTAGAACCCGGCAAAACGTGTGAAGCTCGGTAGTAACCTTGACGGGCATTGGGAGGAGTGTGTGGGCATGCGCAGCTGTGTATGTGTGTACGCGTGTATGAGTGTATGTGCCTATGTGTGTATGTGTGTGTGTGTATGTGCGCAGGCATGCATGCATGCATGTATGTATGTAGGTGTGTGACGACAGACGTAACACCGTCTTGAGGTTATCCATGATGTAGTCGCAGGGGTTTGACATGGTGGCTTGCTGACACGTTCGTAACACTCACTCCCTGAGTTTGGGGAATATCTACCCGAAGTCCCAGGGCTCTCCACTGGCGTATGCAGCATACGCTATGCCACAAGTTGGTCTGAAAGTGTATCCACCACGTGGCATGGCACCTGCAGAACATTTGGCGCATGGCTTGGTTCAACACCGTTCCGATCCCTTTGTCGAATCCACATAACCCACCATATCACCATGGAGGCAGAGTTTGACTGAAGCAGTCACCCATGCCAGACACCGGAAGCCGCGGCTGGTAAAATCGTCTTGCGATGATATTCGTAAAATGTGTATATTATACACATAACTTGCACAAGTGATCCAGCGACTGCGGTGATCGTGAGGGCATCAAAGACACAAGCGCAAAGGCGGCACAGTTGAGATACTGGTGTAATGGGTAATGCCACGCCTTGCCCCCATCCTTCGTAGTCTCCACGAAGCGCATCCCTTTGTCGGAGAGATTCTGGTTCACCTCGACAGCCGCAACCTACATTTAGCACGTACTCCAAAATTGAGGCCACCAGTCTTTACGACACCGTATCTACGGCCCGCACCGACGGATTGTGAATGATCTCATTCCTTGTCGCAGGGAGGGCAACAGCACGACGGAAATGATCGCACGGCATCACAATGACAGCTCCGAATGCAGGAAAGTACGCAGGACATCGGAACACTCATTTAATCCACAGCAGTCGAGCAGTTCGCAGCTGAGTTCCCGACGTCACCCAGATGTTCTTGTCTGGGAAAAAATCTCGAGCCTGCGGAGCTCGGAGATACTGAGCACTTTCAGTGCACACGCGAAACAAATCCCAGTGGTTTCAGTTTGTTTCAGTAACCCAGACGAGCTCTCGGCTTGGCTCTACGGGACTACGCAAGAAGAGAGATCGCTCCCATTGCCTCGTAGGCCATGGCGACCGCTCGCTCCACACCCCAGCAGAAGCCATAGGACCTGGAGCATTGGGGGCTACGGCTCAGGGAACTGAAACCCTGAACCCACGGCATGTCCTGATGCTTGGGACAGGACTCCGCCAGTACGAAGGTGATGTCGCCGACCTGCACAGCTCCCGGTTAGGCACAACATCGCTTCGCTTATCTTCGCTTGCACACCCTCTTCAATTGCGGCAGCTTGCAACGGACACCCACGTCGTCTCAGCCGCTCGCAGTCAGGCGGAAGCCATTCTGCCGAATCTGAGCGTATGGCACAGGGAAGCGAGGGGGGAAACTCCGAGTCTCAAGCACAAACTTTCTGCACTGCTGCTTAGCTGGCGTAGCGCAGATGGCCACCGACGGGCAAAGGGATCAGCTTCTTCCCCTCTCCCATAAGACGAGTGCAGGCCTTGGTCAGCAGCTCGCTGCCACTGACCTCGCAGGTGCAACCCACGACCTTCGTAACTTCGAGACCTCCCGTCTTGGCGTACCGAACGAAGCCCCGGATTCAAGTTGCCCAGAAACCAGCAGAATAAATCGATGTTAACTTGCGCAGAACCACTCGCACGTGTGTCTCGTTCCTGGCCTCCTGCAGCTGATTCATGGCATTCTCCATCTGGGTCCTGCAGTGTTTGGCTGTCGTCTATTCACGTCTATTCCCCAGCCTTTTGTTGTGGAAGGGGCAGCGAAAACCATCATGCATCATCATGCCACAAGGATTCACACCCTAACACATGTGCACGCTGCACATCTCCTGCCAAACTTGTAGTACTGGTCGGACCTGGACGACATTCTGCTTGCCATGTGACAGTGCAGTGGGAAGGAGAAGGGGAAGGCGGGGTTTCTCTGAGTCCTTGGCCTCATGAGGTCTCGCCTCCATTGCTTCGTGGTGGCCTGGGCTTGTGCAACGTCCGTAGCTTCAGTGCCCTCCGATACCCGCTACTACACTGCCCTTGCTGGCCCAAAACGCTGAGCATTTTTCAGCTGTCCTCCGCCTTCTCCAGCCTCTGCCTTTTGAGGGGTGCCTCGTCGGGCCGCACTTCCCCCTCCGTGTTGCCGGGGGTGGAGTGCAGTTCGGTGTCTGGGACGCCCCTTGCAGCTGTGGTCCAGATCCAGCAGCGCCACAACAAGCGATCTGGATCCACATAGGGATCACGGCCGTGGAACATGCGGTAGTTGTCCACCACCAGCGCATCACCTGGCCGCAAGTAGAGTCTGTCGGCTGCTTCCGCTGCTTTCTCTACCGCTTGATGGTAAACCGCCAACATGCGTGCATCTTTCTCCGGGTCGTCGGAGTCATGTCTCACCCTCTGTGCTGCAAAAGCTGCCGGCGGACCAGACAAGCGACACCGAAGGGCTCGCCGCCCGTCAGGTGCTCGCAAAACGACGGGCGAAATGCTGGGCAGTCTGGAAGTCTGATCAACGGCCCTTTCCTCCAGTGCCTTCACTACCCAGGAGTTCTCAGCATCCTCTGCCAATCCATCAAGGATTTGGTAGCCATCGAGGACAAAGTTACCACCTCCCTTCGAGCTGGCATGCTCGCAAAGCAAGAGGAAGTAGTCCGGGAAGAGATCCCCGTAGGCATGGCCGTCAGTGTGCGCTCGGAAGGCGTCGTCCTTGCGGATGCCACGGGGTCCCAGGGTTTTCTCCGAGACCTCCGCCGGTTCCGGTGCCGCCGCGAGAGCTGCGCCGAAGATTTCTTCAGGCAGCGCCGCGGCCTTTTCCCTGGAGCTGCCTGCACCTTCCAGGATGCAAGCCCCCACGGCTCGGAGCGCGGGAAGCACCTCTGCCGGCGAGGCTACCCTGAGAGGATCGACAGCCACCATCGGGCACGGCCTTCACTAGAATCACTAGAATTGCCCCTTCTATATACTTCCCAAGGCTTTCACGACGGTCTCACTCGCCACTGAGAGCGCAAAGTCATACAAGATCGAGAATCTAGAGCAGAGTTTCACGACGCAGCTGGGGCGTGAACACTGGCTTGCACTGTGAACTTGACACCATCACACCCTCATGACGATGATGATCATCCTGCCGCTGCTGCTGCTGCTGCTGCTGCTGCTGCTGGTGGTGCTGGTGGTGGTGCTGGTGGTGGTGCTGGTGGTGGTGGTGGTGGTGGTGGTGGTGGCGGTGGCGGTGGTGGCGGCGGCGGCGGCGGTGGTGGTGGTGGTGGTGGTAATCAATGGTGATCGTGATGGTGAGGAGTCGAGCAATGTTGAGCGGCCGGCGCGGTCCACAGTGGGAAGTTCCGTGGCAGCCTTCAGGGCCGTCCTTCGCGACCTTCAGCCGAGGCTCGAAGCTTCGGCTGCTTCAGGCTTTCGGGTACTGGAGCACCTACGCCTACGATATCGAAGCAAGCTGGGTAGCTTTCAGCTTCGGTATCGATCCGGTGACTATCACTCGTGGAGAGAGGTCCGAATGCGCACAGGAAGGCGGCCCACAGCCGTCAAAGGCCATCGACTGTGCCAACCCAAGTCTTGATCCCGCTACGCCCTGCAGAACCCTCTGCCCTTACAGCCCTTGTTATGCACGTATTCATAGCTTCTACGGTATAGCCGTATGGTAGACTTTTTGCAACCCTTAGGGCCTTCTGGCACCCTGCAAAACCCTCCAGGCATACACACGGGGCAGTTCCGGAAGCCTGCGGGGGCCCTGCGATGCCAAGGCAGCGAGCCCTGGCAAAAATCCCTGGGGTTGAGAGTTGAAGGCTTTGAGGGTTTAGGGTCGAAGGGGCAACCTTCCAGTCCACCTTCCAGAAACCCCAAACCTCAACAACCCCCTGGATCGTGCGCTTAAGATCCTCTCACTGCTTCTCTTGCGTGAAACAGACGCTTGTCGTGACCACGCATCGCCAGCGGATCACCCGGAAGCCTGCCACTGTAGCAGCCGCCGCAGCTCGTGGGCCCTGTCATCTTATAACGACCAGCCACACATTTACATCAACTACAGTACTAGGGAATAGAGGAATGAGGTACAATTATAACTACTATTGCCTACCGACAATAGGGGACCCCAGTATACGACCCAAATTCTAGGATCCTTACTATAAGGACCCCTAAGTAAGTACCCCTAATTTTCGGAAACTCCCATATAGTCCCCATAACCCAGTAATTCCCCCATTTTCCCTACTAAGAACCAGACAGTCCTCAGCTATGTCGGGTTGGCATCAGCTACACCCTAAACCCTAAACCCTAAACCCTAAACCCTGAACCCTAAACCCTAAACCCTAAACCCTAAACCCTAAACCCTAAACCCTTAGCCTGGCAATCGCAAGCCCTGAAGTCTTCGCGCCTGAGACGCCGATGAGCTGGGAGACGAGTGCCCCGAGTGCCCTGCGGCAATCAAAAGCTCCAGGCTATAATGTGATATGATATAATATAAAATATGGTATAGTATAATATAGTATAGTAGAATATAGTATAATATAATATAGCTATTCTACGCAACTTGGGCATTAGAGACAGATCTCGTGGAGCTTGGGATGTCTTTTACTCCGCTGATCCACATGTCTTCACAGACAACGCGCCTGTGGCACGCAGACTGGTGGCTGTAGACGAAGGCAATGCCACGAAGGCAGGGCCTCTTCAAAGAGCTGAGCTTGCTGAGATGGCCCACATCTGCTGTCGAGAGGAGGCTTCACAGTCGTTCTGTGCCTCCCAGATTGGCCAAGTCAGCCATGGCGGACCTCAGCAGAGGCATGAAGCAAGCTTGGGCGCTCCGGTGGCAAGTCGGGATCCCGGCACACTGCCCTCGAAAGCAGAACAAAAGCACAGCTGGAGCCGAAAGGTACAGGTGGACACCAAGGCATCTTCATCCGGGAATAAACGAAGGCTGCGGGTGCGACAGCCATGCGCATGATTAGCTGGGAACGCTTCTCAAGATCGGCAAGTGTATTGGACCACCTGGATCTTTGCAACAGCTCAAAGCATAGGGCGCAAGTCTGAACAGGTGCTGGCAGTGATGCAAGACGTCCAGGAGTGTTTCGGGAATGATCACAAGCGGCAAATCAGAACTGCGAATTTGCTGCAGGCTCACCGCTCACTGAGCGATAAGAAAGGATGCTTCTTACATCTTCAATGATGCGGCCGGATTTCAGGTCATCAGCCGCTGCTCCTGGCTCGCTGTGTCTTTCCCGCTGACTCCAAAGAAAACGCGTAAACTCTTCCGAAGAAGCTAAGCACTCAGCCGTCCTGATCTTTGACCGCCCAGCAGATTTGACTTTGGCACGACTCGATCGTTTCACGTTCTGGAGCTGCATGACAACCCGGCGTCGCGATGAAGGTGTCATCGCAACCTCGGCTTCTCAGCATCCCGGACCAGCGGAACGTTTCGCTGAAGATCCCAGATGCATGCCTTGCCGCCAGCTCGGTGTACAGCAGAGCCATGTGGGAAGGTCCAGAGCTGCCGCATCTGGGCACACGACCGGGTTGCACTCATGGAGGACTACAACAAACAAACAAACACCTTCAGTGCACCGGCGAACCTGAGATCTTTGGCTGGGCTGCAACTCCACCACCTCGATATCGCACACCGCTCGGAAGAAACGATCAGCCCCTCGGGGTCAAAATGCCTTAGGCACTGGCGAGTAGAGTCATGTTGTCACAGCCCAAGCCTTGCTCCTGGACTTGGACTTGGTCTCACCTACTGTACCCTAATAAAGCCCTACAAATCTTCCATGCCCATGAGGTCTCTTTATGTGCAGGCAGCTGTTGCTTCTTATACCTCATGCTTGGCAAGCGGGCAGTTGATTTTCCACGAGCGACGCGCTCGCATCTGCCCCTCATGGCTGGAAAGCGATCTCCCGGGCGCGGAGGAGCTTCGCCACGGTCTCGTTCACCGGTGCTGCCAGCCCCAGCTTGGCTGCCTCGGGCCTCGCTTGCAAGGGCGAAACACAAGGCGCGCGGCGAATGGTTGCGGCTCATGCTGTCAAGGAACGGGATGGCTCCATTGATGACCTGGAAGCAAAGCCGAACGAGCGCAGAGCAACTGAGATATGCACCTTTCAAAGTGTTGCTGTGCCGTCCAGCCGCATCCACTTCTGAAAGTTGTCTCTTTCGATGATCCTGTGCCATCGAGGGATAAGTGTCCCTGACGGTAGACGCAAACGTGTCGACGAACCTTAGTGCCAAAACATGCACGGCAAGCCATACGCCAAGCCCCAGCCTGTGGCAGAGACAACTTAACCCAAGCTGCAGAGGACTGGCCACAACCACTGGCAGTAACTATAGCAATGCCTGAAATTGCAGCACCGGACATCAGATCGATTCGAGTCTAGTGGCTCTTCCAGATCCTCAAAGCCAAACTTGATGCCCTTGCGCTTGCCCACTTCGTATGCCTTGCATGGTCAGGTGTTCAGCCTGCTCGAAACAGCGAGTCCGCGAGCGCAAAAGGGTGAGTGCCTCTTTGGCGCAGGCCAATGCGACCTGCTTTGTCAGCTGAGCTCGGGAAGATGCATCTCTGCAGTGCGGCAGATGAAGCGCCTGCTTTGCGAAGGGGTTATCCACCATCTCTCCGACTTTGAAGTCGATGAGGGCGCACGTCCCTGACGTGGAAGAGGTGGATGAGCGGTGTGTGAGAACTACAAGGATGGTGCTGGGGCTGACTATGAAGAGATTAGTCTTGCTCTTCATTGCTTAGCCAAGTTTTTATCACGGTCCCCTGCAAACTGCTTCTTCCCCTGCGTACTTCAAAGCTCCGGCATCGAATTCTTCAGACGGTACACCTCCGACGAACACGTTGCAGATCAATTTCTCCCAGATTTTTTGCTCAATGTCGCTGACTGCCTGCATTGCGAGGACACGCGGCGGTGCAGCGGCACTGTCTTCCGGTCTCTTCTCAACTAAACCCCGCCTCAACATTGAAGCCCGCGGAGGACCAGACGCATGCGACCTGCGATTGAATAAAACACTTGGGACCTAAAGGAAAAGTGGAAATTTGGTTATAGATCCCTTCAGGGAACCCTTTTTGTCATTATACTACCCTTAAAGGGTACTATGAGAACTACAAGGGTTCCTTAACAGAACCCTAAAGCCCTATTCGGACATGCGGGGAAAGCCCTGGGAGCCTCCTGCAGCCGCTCCGAGGCCTTCTGTCCGAGCTCGCCGAGGATGATGCGGTTCATGCTCTTGTGCTCGGCGTGGCCGGGTCCTGTCAGCACAAACACACCTATTATTTGTGTCTGTCTTTTCAGGTGCTTGTATGAAGCCCACGTACATCATTGTTCGTTTGCTTAATTACATACTTATCTGTAATTGTTTAGCAAGCTCTTGTAATTAACAGTCTAGACAACATGTTTTTCTGGTGTCCTCGCATGCATGCGCCAAAGTTACTGGCGATGCCCAGCATCGCGCGCCCGGCATCCACGTGCTGGAGCAGGCGCTCCGCGGCACCCAGGCCGTTTTGGATGGACAGGATCACCTCTATTGAAATGAATTAGGTTCAGGGCTCTGTATGTATGTGTATATAGCTTATCTAGATATGTGCTGGTTCACCTATATATGTATACTTACATATAAAGTTATACACACCTATACGTACACTTTATGATATGGAGCACAACCAATATCTACGTGAATATACTTTGACTATTATACTCTGCTAATATATCAGAGTATGCTACATTGTGTTAGATGAAATGATGATTGATACTATCATATACTATACTATACTGTACTGTATGTCATTTTATTTACAGTGTATGACTATGATAAATACAGCATTTTACGATATGGCAGTATACTAAAATGCAGTAGAATATCTTGTATGATACTATCATATACTGTATTACATTATTTATGTTACAGTACACTATATAACTTTGCATGAGATTGTATTCTACGAAAATATAGTAGACAATCGTGTATGATTATGTCTTGTATAAGACTATACTCTCTTTCATTAAATTACAGAAAATACTGCTTTCAATATTACTTGTATATCATATTACTCATAATATACCATATGTTCTCATATTGTGGTATATTCTGTTTTGTTATAGTTTGTTGTGCTATATTTCTGTTAGATTATCTCACACAGGATCACCTCAAAAAGGGCAATTGGAAGCCTTTCCGAAGCACTCTCGGCTCGGGGTGCCGTTCCGCCGGGTCGCGCCATCTTCCTTCGTGAGCTTCGCCGCCAGCTGCGCGGCGGGCTCCAAGTCTCTCATCTTGGTCGAGATGATGACCTGAGCCCAGCTCAGATCATGTCAGGTGCTTCGGAACCGGAAGTGTGCTCCGTTGCAGCCCAGAGGCCAAATCGCTCGGCGGCACGTCGTTGGCCGATTCGGTGGCGTTCACTCGCACGGTAAAGTCCCCCGTGGGCCCTTGGAGTCGAAGGCCCTGCGAGGCAAAAGCTGAAAAGCTGCTTGAGATGAGAGGTTCCTTCGTATAGGGCCCCCACCTCATCCCGCATCTTCGAGATGTGTTCAGGCCAAACGTCCACGACCCAGACCTCGGACAGAATCAGCACAAGAAGCTCTGATGCTGGCTTTGGGCCGCTGGGCTTGCCTCGTGCCCTGCTCTGGCAAAGAACGCTGCATACCTTAGGCGAAACAATCCTATCTCTACACGAGCGAGACACACGCTTGTTTTAGCCGGCATTCCAGCTTATATTCGACGTGTACAGCGCATAAATCAGCAGAGATGCACGGATCCCATGGCTCCACAGCCCAGAATGGCAATGGAGTCTTTGCGATCTGCAAGCAAACTACGAGCAGCTGCAAGGCCACATTCTAGCACCACGTTACGCCTGCGACCTCACGCCCAGTGCAGGCATGTTGGATGACTTCGGGTGCAGTGCCAGCAACCTACCCACGGCACCTTCAGCAACGGTTCTTCGCCGCTTTGTCTCCGGGCCCTCGATTGGCACGACCAGCTTCCCAGCAACCCCGTGCCTTGGCAGAGATGCGCCAAGGGCGGACGCGCCACACCCGCTGCTGCGCTGCTACCGGCTTCCGTCGCTGCGTCATTCGCTTTTGCGCTTTCAGGCCGGGCTGCTTGGCGATGAGACTCTCGACCTCAGATCAGCCGATGGCATTCCGGCATTCCCTCGGAGCGGTGTGTCAGGAGGGTTTCTGGGTCTTGCACGAAGCCGTTTGCCTTCAGCTCTGCCACGGTCTCTGCCAAGAAGGCGGCTGCATGGGTGCCGCGGCATTTGGAAGTTCCCACAGCCTGGAAGAGGCCACACCAGGGTGCAGAGGCCGGAAAGGAAAGGTCTGGCAAAGAGCAGCAACAAGGCAAAGACCGGTCCTGTTTCACCTCGGCAAGTCCAAGTGCCCGATCACGTGCCACTCAATCAAGTTGCGCCTAGGTGAGAGCTCGACAAGTTGCTGCAAAGCTGCCGTCATGAAGTGACCCTCCAATATTCGGCCCTGAGCTCATGCTTGTGACATCTGGGTCGAGTAAATATGGATCCTGGCCCTCCAGCAATCTAGCGGCAATCCAGCAGTCAGCACTTCGAAGCTGAGGGCCCGTCCCCTGGAACGTGCAGGACATCGGATAACAGGCGCTCTCGCAGGTTCGCGAGCACGTCTGCCTGAATTTCCGACCCTTCGCTCCCTCTTTGGCAAGCCATCTCCTCCTCCTCCCGGCCTGTCCATCCACCAGCAGCTTCAGAGCTGCGTCCATGGAGTCGACCTGATGGGTAGAAGGTGAGCATGGCTGGGCTCTGAAAGCTCACTCGGGGGCGCTAGCCCGCCTTGATGACGCTGGCTCGACAGATGTTTTTATCCAGCCACAGACCGAAGGCCGTTCCCCCCATGCAGGCGATTCGAACCTCATCACCAGAATCGTACCGGATCAGTACACGAGCACTGAATCGGCGAGAGGAATATCAAGCAAGATGCTGTGGGGGAGTCCACTTCCTCTATGCTTGTCCTTGTGTTGGCACTTCAAGCACTCGGTCGACTTCTTGAGTCGAGACTGTCCATGCGGTCTCAGGGTCAGCTTGGAGGTGCTGGGCACCAAGTAGGTCGCGGGTATCTCGACGTAAGGCTTGCTAAAGGCAATCCTGAGCCGATACAGTCTTTCGTCACTGTCACCTTTGCGCTGCTTCGTAGCACCCGCCCAAGAAGCCTGAACGCAGCCACGGCGCTTTTCTTCTCGTTGAGGCTCTGCTCCTATGAGGGCAATGTCCCAGCAACCTGGCAGGAACACCCGCTCAACGGTTCCAGCCATCCGCTTCCCCTCTTGACCGGCCCTGTGGCCTTCGTCCACTGCATCGCCCAAGTCCTTGCACAGGGATGACTGCCGGTCATACTCTAGCTGCTAGTGTGAATACCATCATTCTAAGCACTGCTACGGCCACCGATGCCGTTCTCAGGTACTGCATCCTGATGTAGCAAATGTCAGCTATCTTCTCAGCTACCTGAATTTCAGCACCTTGAGCCTGAGACCCTCACACGCTGGTACATTACACCTCAAGCCCTTGACTCACCTTATAATTTGCAATCAAAACAGCCAAGGTGGCGGCAGAATGTCTCTAACGACAAAGGGTGCTACATCCCAGGACGGCGCTGCATGGGAGTGACAAAGACTTCAAGGACCCGTGTGGACCACGTCTCCTTGGGGTTGGGAAATGGCACCAAGCGAAGCGCAGTGCCCAGCCGCTTGGCGATTTCGGC